TTGAATCAATAACCAAGTTGTATCGAATGCAAATAGTGCATAATTATCTATATTTGCTAATCCAGGAAATGTTTCATTTTCATATTGTTGCCATATATCACATGCTGCATTTAACAATCTTGTATTAATTGGTGCGCCAACAGTACTTGCTATTGCAGGTTCTACAGTAAGCATTCCAATTAATTGTTGAGAAAATTTTTGATCAGAGGAGTCAAATCGAACACTTGAACTTAGTATCCAAGTAAATTTTGGACCAAGTACATTAGAATCAAGCGCATTTTGTAAAATTAAAGGTGTATGAGCCGAAGTCGCCCATAACACAACAATTCGTGATGTACTACCGATTAAACTGGTACTCAAATTACCTCGAATACTACGTGTTTCAATATCATACACCACCATTATCGCCACTGTTAAATTATTTTTACGGAACTCATCTTTTATTACATTTGCGCCACCAGTTCCAAATTGATCATTTTGATAAATAACTATGCATGAAGTCCAATTAAATCGAATAAATAGTTTTACAATTGCTATTGCAGCGGCACTATCTGAAGGAACTACACGATAAAAAGCAGGGTACATATTTCGATTAGACAAATCTGGATTAGTTGCGGCATATGATACAGCAGGAATACCAACTTTTTTAGCAAATTCAGCTGTAACAGGAACTTCTAGCGATAATGACGGGCCCACAATACCAAAAATGTCAGAAGTAGATAATGCTTCACATATACCACTAACAGCAGTAATTGAACTGGCACCAGTTTGCACGGCTTGCCATCCTATGAATTGTCCTTCAACTGTTATATTATATTGTTGAGAAAGTAAGAGTGCTGCCTTGAACATAGCACGTGAATGTACTGACGAATCCGTAGGATCAGATGTATTTTCTGCATCTGAAAACAGACCTACTAGTTGAATGTTGGATGTGTTTGATGTTGGCCAAGTTGTTATTACATAATTTATATGCAGTTGCTCTAATATAAAATGTAGTAAAAACCATCGATAATTCCAGAATAGAAACATGGTTGTTTGAATATTCCAAAAATCAGATAGTTGAATCAAGTATAAAAAAAGAACAGAGTATGCTAAAATATAGACGGAATAATAAACTAATATTTATTGTCGAACTAAATATTTCATTGATAGTTGATTAATCATTATCAAGGAAAATGGAGCAAATGTTGCATCTCATATTCTAGTGTTTTAAAGTCAATGATGCTTGGAAGAAGATTGAGCTCTAGATAAACACTTCGAAACTTTGAGAAAAATTGCATTGTGTTTAGTAGAATTTGTT